CCTCATAATGATCTACAGTGAATTCCATTGGATAATGTTGACTTTTCAAGGTTCACCAATGGTTTTCATTTTAAAGGTGACGATGGCAAATAGTGTGCTGAGTATGCTATCATAATTTTTTTTGATGTTGCTGAGGCAGCATCTTAAATTTGTGGCTACTTCAGCTCAATAGGATGAACTACATGCTCTTAACATGAGCTTGAACTTAAGCCAAGGACAAAACTGCCAATAGTTATACTGACAGCAGAAACGCTTTTGAAGTAGTATACTCACAACTTTGGAAGGTTGTGGATGCAACATGGCCTCCTTATTTCCAGTGGAAATAAAATTTAAAATGGACCCGATGGTCAGGAATTATTGTGTGTAAACATCTTACCTGCCGCTTTAGCTATTATTAAGAGTCTGATATATTCTAAACTTAAATTTCTTGAAGCTAAGAGGAACGATCCTGTTGATACTTCTGCAAGGAATGTTATCCTTAAAGGGACCAACAGCAGCCAAGCATCTGTCATGGTTCAAAAGGTATTTCCAAATTATCCAAGTTATAGTTTAGTATAACTTGTTAGAGAGTCCAGGAAACTAGCCTCAGAAAAGCAAAAAATAAGATTGGAAATGCACCAACTATTGGTTTGATAAAACGAGAAGCCCTAGTTTGGACCAGTGAGAACCCAGTCCTACCTAAGACTAATAAACCGACTCCTCACCACTGTACATGCATTAAACCATTGGTCTCCTGACCAAAAAACTTTCATGAATCAATATGGTAGGGAAATATTAACAAGACCAAATGCAGTGTCTACCTCACTTGTGCAAATACAAGCCAGGGAAGTCTATTTCTGCTACTCTCAGGTATTCAAATACCTACTGCTCTCAGGTATTTTGCAAATGGTCTATATGAGGTTTGGCAACTGGACTTCATACAATTTCCTCTAATAGATATCAATGTTTCAGTCATGGTCTATATGTTTCCACACTGGACTGAAATGTTCTCCTGTAGACTGGTTACTGTTTTTTCTGTGACTAATGCTGGGAAAGATGATTCCTTCCTAGAAGAACTCCTCTTGAACTTCATGGTATTTGACTAATCTATTTTATTGGCCAGGGACTTTGACAAGTCTTTGCTGTTTGGCTGGTTTTATAACATTCACACTGGTGTGGATTGTTGCACCAATCTTCTGGTTAAGATGAGAAATCTAATTCCATCATTAAGACTTAATTGCCAAAATTTGTAGAGGCCCTCCAAATATCTTGTCCAAAAGAACTGTGTTGGTTCTTCACCACTTTTCAAACTCAAATGCTCAGCTTTTGAGATAGTAAAAGGATGCTCAATGCACTTGACTCCTGCTACTTTAGAGTCACAACTGCTAAAAGGAGAGATACTCCGATATTTCAAAGGTCTATTTGTTTCTATTAAAAATCATTATTAAAAAACCAAAAATAGAACTACACTATGACCCAGAAATCCAACTACTGGGCATACACCCTGAGAAAACCATAATTTAAAAAGACACATGAACCCCAGTATTCATTGCAGCACCATTTACAATAGCCAGTACATGGAAGCAACGTAAATGTCCATCAAGGGAGGAATGAATAAATAAGATGTGGTACATATACACAATGGGCTATTACTCAACCATAAAAAAGAACAACATTATACATCATTTGTAGAGACATGCATGAACCTAGAATCTGTCACATTGTGTGAAGTCAGGAAAACAAATATCATACATTAATGCACGTAGGTACAATCTAGAAAAACTGTACAGATGAACTTAATTTTCAGGGCAGGAATAGGCATGCCTTTTCATACTGTTCATGAGGTTCTCAAGGCAAGAATACTGAAGTGGTTTGCCATTCCCTTCTCCAGTCACATTTTGATGCTTTTGAACTGTGGTGTTGGAGAAGACTCTTGAGAGTCCCTTGGACTGCAAGGAGATCAAACCAGTCAGTCTTGAATATTCATTGGAAGGACTGAGGCTGAAGCTGAAGCTCCAATACTTTGGCCACCTGATGCAAAGAACTGACTCACTGGAAAAGACCCTGAGGCTGGGAAATATTGAAGGCAGGTGGAGAAGGGGACAACAGAGGATGATATGGTTGGATGGCATCACTGACTCGATGGCCATGAGTTTGAGTAAACTCTGGGAGTTGGTGATGGACAGGGAAGCTGGTGTGCTGCAGTCCATTGGATCACAAAAGAGTTGGACACAACTGAGCAACTGAATTGAATAGAGATGCAGACATAGAGAACAGATGTGTATACATAGGTGGGAAGATGAAGTGGGAGACGGGGATTAAAGTTAGGATTGACTCCTGATTTCCTCTTTCATTCTATAAAAGTGTTCTTCCCTTGCTATGTGGGGACTTGCATGTGGCTTGCCAGGGTCACTGACACTGAATTGCAATTCTCTGTTGATCCTAAATAAACCCATCTTTGCTGGAGAAATATCTGGTAGTCTATTTGTTTCAGGCCAACACTGGATATATCTTCAAATATTTGTAGACTGATATTAAGGTCAAACACAACATTAAACTATTTGGACAATTTTATGAATTCAGTCAAGCTAGTTTAAGGATGTATTCTAGCAAAATAGTCTGAGATATTTTAATGAATCCACTGTTTGGCAGTTCAAACTCTTTCTAAATAAATATCAACTCAATTTTTCACTAAAATAAAGATCTTTGTAAATTATAAATTTCATTTTTTTAATATCTTTTAATATCTTGGTATATCAATCATCACTGAAACTAGCTTAATGTGTCATATGTCTTGAGATATAACTATTCAGAAACTGAACTGTAATACCAAAACTGGAAAATAGTTTTCTACTCAAATGAGTATTAAATGAGTATTAACTTTTTACATTTTTTAAAATTTTTGGATAGCTGACTCATAGTGTGTTTCTCAAAAGCAGTTGTTCCCAGGCAGTCACAAAATTGAGTTGCTCAAAATGACTTGCAAATGTCCCCAGTGAACTTCATATATACTTTATGATTTGTCTAGGAATTGTGGATGGTATTTATTTTTTCTTTACTAATTTCATACACTGTGATGTCATAAAAATAAAACATAAAATGATTTACTTCACTACTATTATTTGCAAAATCTGAAAATTCAAGCAAAAATATCTACAGTAGGTATGGCATTTTTTAGAGTTTTTATACTGAGCAATTTGAATCAAACAGTTGTTTTAAATGAAGAATTGTTCCACAGACTATATACAAGTTTAAAATTTAATTCTTCTAGTACTTATTATGCTAAGTAATTCTTAAAAGAAGTAAAAACCACTGGCCACAAATATTTTAAATGGATGCTCAGTAATGATTTTTTTAAGTGATAGTTCTGTATTAAAATAGTTCTTACCATAATCATTCCAGATCTGATATGTAATTTACATTTATATATTATATTAAATATTTAAATTGATTTTAAAAATTTTGAAATAGCGTGTACATGGTTTTCCTGAAACACATGGTTTTAAGTATTACATTTACCAGTTTTATCAAAATAAAGTGAAATCTCTCAGTCATGCCCGACTCTTTGCGACCACATGGACTGTAGCCCACCAGGCTCCTCCGTCCTTGGAATTTTCCGGGTAAGAATACTGGAGTGGATTGCCATTTCCTTCTCCAGGGGATCTTCCTGACCCCAAGATGGAACTCAAGTCTCCTGCATTGCAGGTAGACGCTTTACCGTCACAAGGTAATGAATGCAACATTAAAACATGAACTCTGATATAAAATACTCAAAATTATTTAAAAGAACATGCTCATGTATATCTTTAAAAATTCAAGTATACCTACACATATACAAACACATACAAATATGGACAGAACTACCTGTAAAATTATCAAGACCTCTGGAATGCACAAATGTTAAATTTGACATTTTAGCTATTTGCTAGGAATCCAAAATATCCATAATATGTAGTTATTTGTGGTTTGCTGGGAGCGACATTTCAAAAGCATAAAAGGGTATACAAAACCAGTTACCAATACTTAGCTATCAAATGGAATCTTCTGACAACCTAGGTTAGTGTATCAATAAGACTTGGGTTACTTTATTTTGCTCTTACTTGAAATAATTATTCAGAAAGGGAAAAAACATCATGCTTACTAAATATATTAATGTCACCATAGCCCTAATGTAACATAACTTATTATATGTAGCAAAATATGCATTAACTATGATTTTATTGTATATAGACAAAGTCATTACAAACCTAAATAACAACTTCTTTATAAACAGAAGTGCGTTCTGGAGGATATTTGTAAACTTGGAGATTTTCTAAAACCTGAGGACATACCTTTTCTAAGTGCCAATAGCATACTTTGTAAGGACTATATATAAGGATGACAATACTGTCACTAAATATTATGATTTTTATTACATCCATTTAAAATATGTTCAACTACCTAAAGCATGGCTTACAGCGGTGTTGGAATATTCAACATAATTTTTCATACAATATTATTATTTCTAAATGAGTATATATCATCCATGGCTGATAACTGAGCATTCTAATTATAAATAACATCATAAAGTGCTAAAGAATCCTCAATAAATCATTTTAAAGTGTCAATAATCACACAGGCAATAGGTTATTTTTATGCTGAAATAGCAAAGCATATATTTTTTTCAAAGCAAACGTAAGAGCTTTCCACATAGATAAGAAAACAATTTTTTCACAGATCATATTTGCTCTGTTTTTGGCAAGATAAAGCAAAACAAAACAAAAAGATATTTAATGAAGGCAAAAGTCTTGTTTGGTTGTATATTCTGCAATGCCATTGCAAGTAATATATTTTGCTCTGCCAGAGAAGGACATAGTTCATATCTCTCATCATATGCATGCACAGTTAATTCCTGTGGTGGCATAGGTATTCAGAACCATATAGCTCTAGGTTTCAAATAACCTGAGTTAACTGAAGTTTCAAGATATTCTAAACTTCGAAGATTGTTAGTATATTAGATTATAAAACAAATGTAAACTCACCCTTCTAATCTTACATCCGGCAGACTTCTGTTAAGGGCAATCAAATCACTGGCCATAAGGTTAAACTGATTGATTTTAAACAATTCTTTCATTTTCTCCTGGTCATCTTTAGGAATCAGCACAGCCTTTCCCATTTCTCCTGGCCCTTCTTGGTTTCTTGAAATAACAGCTGTAAGACACACACAGGTACACATATATACACAAACATACAGATAATGAACTAAATATATAAACCCATGCTGGATCAGATTCTAAAGTGTATTATTTATAAACTAGCTTAATAATACAATCGTCAAGTCTCTATTGCTACTTACAAGCCATACACTAAAGAAACAACTTATTTTAATTCACTAACTCAATACTGCATGTTGTCCTTCAAATCTATCACATATTATATGATCTGACTAATCGTTAAGACTTAGTAAATAAGCAACACAAATACCAAACTTCATGCTTCTCTTTCATGTTTTTTAATACATTTATTAGAGGGGATGAGGTTGAGCTCTGGGCACACTATGTTGTGCAAAATAATGAAAGAGAAATTTTGAAAATATACCAAGATTAGTTTATTCTCACATCCACTTAAAAATTTTAATATTTCAAATATCTACTGCCATTATATCTTTATGAAAGCAAGTAAGATTGAGAATGCTTTATCCCCATCAGAGTTTTATCCCTTTGTCAAATCATTTTCAAATAAGTAGAAAGAACTTTCATAGCAGTGACATATAATTTTAAATGTCAAGTTGGATTTGGAGGCTACGTGTTTCATAACTGGAATTTCACAGCAGTATTCTGAGCTTGACTTTATTTTATTAAGAGCACTAAGGATTCTACATACAGGCTAATGTTCTTGCATTTCCTCCAAGTTATCACCACACTAATGTCCCTTCAAGCTATAAAATACACGACTCAGTGTGTGTGTGTGGGCTTGTGCATACATATGTCTGTATGTATGTTGACAGAAGACAGGTTCCTGTTAACCTAATCTACCCTTGATTTACTTTTCACAATGATATTAAACCAGGTACTGTGAAAAAATGGAGCTGTGGTTCTGACTCTTCCGTCATTTTGCTATATTATAGCAAATATATTGTATATACATAATATATAACATTTTCTATATTATTTTATAATAATATAATTAAATTTTATATAAAATTAAAATATTTTATATATTTTAAATCTTTAATTTTCTATAATAATTTAAATCTGCATTTTTTTCTATAAAATATTATTATACTTTGCTATATTGCAATATAATTTTACTGAGTTTAATTTTCATATACTTTAAAAGGCAAAGATTTGGTCCCAGATTACTTTAAAATATATTTTAAATAGAAATACCATGTGATCCAACAGTTCCACTTCTGGGTATTTACTCCGAAAAAACTAAAATACCAATTTGAAATGATTCACGCACCCCTATGTGCTAGCAGTGCTATTTATATGAGCCAAAGGACAGAAGCAACCCAAATACCCATCAATACATGACTGGATTAAGAAGATGTGCATACATATATATGCATATATATATATATATGTATGTATGTATATATAATGGAATATATCTAAACCATAAAAAGAATGAAATATTTTTGCCAATATTTGCCAAAATACAGATAGGGCTAGAGAATACTACGCTTAGTGAAATAAGACAGAAAAAGATGAATACCTTATGATGTTAATCACATCTGGGATCTAAAAAATAATACATATGTGTGTACATACAAAACAGAAACATACTCATAGACATAGAAAACAAATTTAGGGTTACTAAAAAGGTAAAAGAGGGGGAGAGGGACAAATTAGGATTATGGGATTAACAAACTACTATGCATAAAATAGGTAAGCAACAATGACTACTGTAGAGTATAGGGCATTATACCCAATATGTTATAATAACCCAAAATGGAATATAATCTGCAAAAAAAAAAAAAAAAACTGAATCCCTAAGCTGGACACCTAACTAAGCTGGACACCTAAAATTAACACAATATTGTAAATCAACTATATTCTAATAAAAAAAATTAAAGAATACAAAGTATGTGAAAATAACCTATAAATTATAACATTTTATAAACTGTTATAACAAAAATGAAATATAGTCAAATCTAGGGTAGAACACAACAAGGAGAATTTCTTATGATTTGACCATAGTTATAAAACATCAAGACTGATATTACTGGTGCTAATATACAATAAGTTTTCAAGTCAATTACTTTCTGTGAAAGGTTATTCTGACTTTGTACTGCCATGAACCAAACTATAAAAGAGATTAGGCACCCTGGGGAACTTCAGGTACGGGAATCAGGACGGTGATTAGCCTGTAAATCCTCTTATATGTTGAAAAATGGTAAGGACTGGGAAATTTTTAAATGAAAAAGATACCTGTATGCAACTTCAAACTATTAAACAAATTACCTTAAAGCTAATGGAGACTTCCATTCACTTTAAAAAGCAAAAGTAGAAATGAAGACAGGAATTTTATGATAAAGTCTATCATGTTCAATTTGCGAATCAAAATTCTAACTGTAATGTTTCCTTGGGAGTTGGTAAGTTTACTGTCCCTAAAATCAGATGGAGTTGTTGGAGTTGGCTTTGAGTGAATTTGTGTTGCTGATTAGACTATGGACTTAGATGGGCCTCCAAGTACTTTTCATTTCTCTGATTTATTTTTTAAGATTTGATTCCATAGAAATTGTTAAAAGGAATTTCTATAGTTTCCTTACGAATCTTTCTAATTCTAAAGCAAAGGATTTAATCAGGCTATATGATACCACCCATTGATAACAGATATTTTACATATGTGTCTGTATCTGTATCTATATGTATCTATAAGAAGATAGATTCTCAATCTAGTTTGGTAGAGATAGATAAATAAATATTTTACATATTCTGGTCTATAACCTTAATGCCAGAAAATATAGGATCAATGTTTTTTTCCTGGGGAAAAAAATGTTTGGTTTTTGTTACATTAAAGAGTTTAAAAAATTTGAGATTTAAAAAATTACAATTTTTAGAAGTTAAGAAAGTCATTCATTCACCATTCATAGGTCTTTAAAATGTCCTCTATAAATTCCAACAAAAATATATTACATCGCAGAAAATAGTAGCATCAATGCAATGCTACCAAGACTATGAAGCAGATAGGATTGATTTCTACTCTATGTAGAAAATCATGGAGCTCAACTACATCATTGTGGAGCATGAAGATCAAGGCAAAGCACATAGAAGTACTTGTTTTTTGTAATATTTTCAAAGCTGTGACCATGTCCTTGCTGAGTATTAGAAAAATTATAGTTTTGTCATGATAGAGTAAGTGTATAGGCTTGCAGTGCTATCAATAAAAATAAAATCATCATAAACAGGATTCTTATTCCTAGAACTAGCTTGAAAGCACATGTTAATATTCTCCTTAATTATTCTCAGCTTCTTAGTGAAAAGTAGTTGACAATTTAATGTGTATCAGGTTAAGTGTCTCCTCCCCAAAGTTAAATATATTTTTCTATAATAGCCTCTAATGAATGCATATTTGACATTTTACAAAATGTTATTTTTCTTTTTATGCATGAGCAGACCTATTGGTGTTTTTCACCTTGCTCAAGAAAAAAATGCTAACTGATTATACTGTGGAAGAAGCCTTTTTCTTTTCCTGCTCTTACCTGGCAGAATACATCTTTCTAGAAGAAACAGTTTTTTTTTTTTTTCTTCTTCAAATAATATAAAAAAGATAAAAAAAAGACTGTGCAATTTAGTATTGAGGCATCTCCAGTACCTTTAAATAACAACCTCAATTTTTTTCTCACCTGTTTATTTCTCTTCTCTACATAAAGAAAAAAATATTCACCCACACACTCACCAAATACCATGCTCCTCCACAGTCAAAGTGAAAAACAAAAAGAACTGTCGCTGAAGTATTGGTGTTACTTTTCAAGTCTTAGTAGGCAAATACAATAGAGAAGGCAACAAAATCTACATTATATCTTGACTTCACTTAAATATGATTGGAAATATCCCAATTACAAACCTAGTTTGGACTGTATAAACAGATTAATATACTATGCTGTCATGTCCTAGCTATTGTAAATAGTGCTGCTATGACAACTGGGGTACATGTGTCTTTTTCAATTATTATTTTCAGCGTATATGCCCAGTAGTGGGATTGGGGGGTGATATGGTAGTTTTTGTCCTAGTTTTTTAAGTAACCTCCATACTGTTCTCCATAGTAGCTGTTATCAATTTACATTTCCACCAACAGTGCAAGAAGGATGGGGTGGAGAGGGGAGGTTCAGGAAGGAAGGGGCATATATGTACTTGTGGCTGATTCATCTTATATAGCAGAAGCCAATACAATATTGTAAAGCAATTATCCTCCAATTAAATGTTTTTTAAAGTACTATGCTAGAAGTTATATCCTTTCTAATTATAAGATTAAATCACTTAAAATGATAACTTGACCCAAAATGACATTACAAAACTGGTTGGAATATAAAAGCAGAATCATTATATATGCACATATATATAAAACATATTTTTCATTTTAACATATTGCATACTGTATAGATGAATTTTGATTTATTTTATCATAGAATTTGCATTGATAAAAATGATAAACCCCAAAATATAAATCAACCAACTGATCAGTCTACCAAAAGGAACATATTAACTGCAATATTTGCTTACGTACATTGAGTTATGAACACTTTTTCGTTGCAGAAATGTCCAATTAACAACAAGCACTGTCTATTTCAAAAAATAAAGAGATATCTTGTATTTAGGGGAAAAAAAACTTGAGTAAGAAATTTAGGTCATTTTTAAACTTATTATGTTAAAGAACACAGTAATATATGATGCATACGGGTAAAAGCATGACACTGGACCAAAATCTAAATGTCATTCTGAATAGCATATTTTCCAAAAAATTTTTTCAAATTGTATTTCTATCCACAGATCTACTCAGTTGTTAATTTCTGTATACACTCCAGCTCTTCTCTAGTTTTTATCAGTTTGAAATAGTCAACTGAAATAAATGTAATATCTTGACTTTTAATTTCTCTCATCTTTGAATATTCATACTTCATTGCTAATAAATCATTTCCCTAAGACAATACTTTCATCTTGACCATCATAAATGTGTTTGTAGTGGAGTCAGAAAATGAGGAAATC